CCTCCCCCACGGGGGGAAGTACGACCCCCCTATGTGACAACAGTTCTGTACCCTGCTGGTCACAGTATTCTGAACTGCTAAAATTGAGTGCGTGGGAACACCGAATCCACACAGTACCACTCAGTTTACGCCTAGTCATTGCCTGGCTAGAGATGTAGAGCGCGTCAGCGTCTCGTTCGCTTCGTGGCCTCTCTCAAGAGCTTCCTCTTCGAGCTCTAAATCGAAATCCTTTCAAATCCTTTGGCCCATGATGCGGCATCTTTGTGATGCCCTTGAAGGCATAGTTGCCGGTAGTGTGGACGTGGCCTCCTATCCTCCTCACTATGCATCCCCGTTTTCTAATACGGACAGGATGAACGCATCATTGAGACTCGGACAATGGTAGGCCCGTTGTTGCCCATACATTAAGCATGAACATACCTATATGGCCCTTCAGGCTGCCTGGTTGTGGTCATCTTCTGCTCCCAGGCTGATTCTGGTTCCAAACAGCTCTCTTAGTTGGACATGAAAAAACTTCTTTACCCATCTGTGAACGAAACGATGAGACGAAAGGAATGAGACTCAGGCAGGACACGCCATCGTGTTGTGATTATTTCCTGAAAAATACGATCCCCTCCCCATGTTACCCATACGACCCCCCTCCCGTTGTGATCATCACAACGATGGCGTGCCCTGGGTTCAAGAATGGAAGGCTAGTCGTGCCTCTCAATAACAATAAGACTGACTTTCCGCGCAAGGCATCCTTTTTGTAGATCCTGTTCCAGTTCATAATGTAACTTATATCATGCATTACAGACTGCAGCTGAACATGAACAAGATCTCAATGAGAGCAGTAGCTCGTCGAGCTCAAGTTCAAGCTCTTCCGAAGACTCCAGTAGTAGCTGTTTCGAGGACGAAGAGGATGAAGAAAAGGTTCGATTTCAAAAAGTCTTCAGTACTCCATATATTCTCCCTATCTCAGGTCGATGCTGACAAAGACCAAAAGCGTAGCCGAAGGGTTTCACATGGAAGTGTACAGTCGCTCAATATTGCCTCGGTTCGTTCGAAATATTTATCTAATTTTCATCGAACTCCTCGTTTTTTTAACAAGTAGCTGGTTAGTGTCATTAGGTGTAGGGGCTAAGGTTTTTGGATTTGATATTTTTTCATGAACTGAACTCCCCGGGCACATCGTGATTATGAGAGCGCGGACTCAGAACTCTTCCATTGATGCGCATCTCCTCTTGATCGCCTCAAGAGGAGGACGCACCAATGAGGAAGGCACACTGGTTGCCTGTCTCCGCCCATAACTATATCGGAGGAGGTGCCATTCAATTCGAAAAGATTTGATACAGCATGCATTTTCAAAGTGCTTTCAGTTATTCCACAGTAGGAGACGACGAAAACATCCCAATCCTAAGGATGCGGGTACGGATATCAGCGAAATAGGGAAGCAGGAATTGGCGAGTATGCCTGTCTCAGACGGAGGTTAGCTTGCGCGTTTGCAAGTTTCGCGACTTTTGACTTGTGCTTGAGAGGGGCTTCATTTGTGTTTACTTTCTATTGTTGTATTGGAGGTTATTTCCTACGCTTACTTTTCAGGACCCCATTTTCCATCCCGCTACGTCACCAACTCCACCTCATTACTACAGAAAACGAACTAGACATCCATCCTATCGGCACAATGGGATTCTTCCAGGCGATGCAAAGCGAAAGTCATCCATCTACGGTTCTAACAGTAAACGAGCTGCACTTGTTATTAGGGTAGGGGTCCTGGAGCCAAGGGTGGCGACGTGTGCGACGCGAATTCGCGGGTCACGTCGCCTTGGTACAGTACCGCCGCTCGGTGTGCCTGGCTCTGGTGTGACCCCAAGTTTAGCACACGAAAACAGACCTGCTTGGCCGGTGGTTTGCGTGTTGGAGCCATGCCAACAGAACTGGCGGCGCGAGGGAAGGCGGGGGGGGGGAAAGGGTGAGTGCATTGCTGTAGTCGGCTAAACGGATCACGGCAATCTTTGCGTGGAAGATCATCCTCCGAAACCGAATTCATTAAGTCTGTAGAAAATCCGTGTTTTTCTTACCCCGTGGGGGACAGGTCACCCATCGGAGATTTCACGTGCGACCCGTACACCGGCCAAACGTCAGGCCATTTTTTTGGCCCCGCCATGTAATTTCTCGGCACCTTCTCAGAGGAATGGAGATGTGAATCGTCTCTTGGGAGAGTTAATCTAATTTTCTCGCTTCATTGGGTAACTGTGTTTTATATAATAATAAATAGCATGCAAAAAGTTGAGAAAGAAGAAAGCAGTAACTTTCCATTCAGGTGTATTGTCGCATGGAGCGATAGCAGTCACCAAGGAAAGCGATGATCCATTCAATAACCGGCCGAACTTTCTGTTGACTGTAGGGCAATCTACGCTCGAAGTGTTATCATTGGAACTTTTTTTGCCAGATTGGACTCAACGAGCCGTCCTCGCGACCCGCGCACTACCTGCCGGGGCACACGTCGAAATCGGACAATCATTGGAGCTTCTTTCACATCAGAGGTCCCACAATAAGCGACGCAAACCCCGCACGGCGCTAGTCATCGACGGGGGGGGGCATTTTAGTATATAATTGCTTCCCTGGTTCCGGTTTACAAATCTCACTCTGGTAAAACTTGTGAACGCTTGTGAAGCTGGAGCAAGATCGTCTAGCCACCATCCTAAAACGTGTCAACTCGAAAAAAGGGTACCTAGATGGGTTGGCAAATCTATGAAAAGCAGAATGCCCCCCCGTCGATAAACAGCGCCAACCCCTATGCTCGATCAGATGATTGAGCCGATTTTGTGGACAGCTTGCCTGCGCGACGTCGCGTGGTCGCGTGGTGACCTCTTGTGACCAAACGCACCTTTTCATGTACCAAAGCCAGTCAAAAGGAAACTAATGGTCACGTTTGCAGCGCCCAATTAAAATCCGTCGCCGACTGTATGAGTTCTACACAGCTCCCATCACAACATTCTGGGCGTGGACCCTGTCGTTCTGCTTGTTTCTGACTGCATTCACCTACGTTCTGCTGATACGCACTCCACCGAAACCATCGTGGTTGGAATGGTTGCTACTTGCCATATGTCATTGCATTCGGGATGGAACACTTTAGAAAGGTTTGTCTTACTTGTTATTTCAATGGTGAGTTCCGCTCGAAAGCAGTTTGACCATTTCCCTGAGGAGAACTTTTTGAACAGTCAAAAATCTGGTATATCTCCTACTCTACTGTGTTTTACAGAGGGTTTTTCTTCCAATTAGAAATATTAGAATAGTGCCCCACTGATTGCCATTTTGACCAGAGCACCGCCGTTGGGGAAAGTTTTTTTTTCACGAAATACGACCCCCTCCTCAAAATATCCTCCTCTGGTACGACCCCCTACCAACCGAAAACGTTTTTCTTCGAAGTAGATACGAAACCCCTCCTCTTCAGCGACCGTATGTGACCCTTTTCTCGTACAAGGCATCCCATGGGCCCGAGTGCAGTGAGGGCTCGATGATTTCCCTCTACCTCCTTTTTCAGGCTCCTTGTGGTCCCTTACCCAATTCTTCGATGATCAAGTCTTTAATCGCATAAAGCGACCAAAGAGATCCTCTAGCGAACACTATGTTTATGTTTCACCCAGTGTTTTGACAATCGAGCATACCATCGTTAGAGATAACGGACTGTTTCACTGATCATCTGAATAGCGGATTACTGGCTGCGATTAGCTACCTTGATGCACTATAAGCAAATACTGGGCCCGTCAGAATAGATGAGCATCGAGCTGCTGAGCTCCAGTGAGCAATGTCTAATGGCTCATAGCCTGGTCTATTTGAAGGAACTCACTTATGCAACGTCGGAAATTACCGTAATGGGACAGGACGATTTTTTTCCAAGCTTAACGTGTTTGAAGGCAGTTGGCCACGATGGATTTCTACTTAGCCTTTAAAATGCTAGCTTGAGTGCTTATAGTGAGGAAAATGTAGCGACCATGAAATAGACACTGAAGGCGTCAAACTACTGCCGAAGAAAAGCCTCCGTTCTCAAGTGACTTAAAATCGAGTTTTCGGATCACGAGTTTTCCGCAACGGCAATCTTGCCACATCACCGGGCACGCGAGATACGGACCTGCATATGTGATGCCATGTTACATAGCCAGCAATCCACGGCGCTTAATACCAATGCCTTCGCCTTCATAACTTGCTTGCAAATGACATGTGAATTCCCAAGCGTCAGGGAACGGTCGTCCATTTGTGGGCGGCGCGGGCGTCGCGAGCGTTTTATGCGGAAGTAATGTTGTGGCTTGATATGACAGCCATCTATAGGGCATCTAACTCGGCGGAAACCGCCTATGTACCAGCGGATCCAGAGTCGACGGAATTCTATCCTGCAGGGTAACTTGAATCCGTACACCGATCTGGGGGATTTATCCGTGCCCAACTGCCCTTTAAGAGTTCGTGGAGGGGGGAGCGGGCCGAAGCAATCTCCAAGTACGGATGACTTAGAAAATAAGGTCTTGGCAGTCTCGGTAGAGTTGCCACTTTCTCCGGTCACAATAGTCGTGCGGAAGAAAAGACGTTAGAACCTTTTGCTTTTCACCCTCCTAATTGTATACGTCTATTTTGTGCCTGATATACAGGGGGGGGGCCAAAAAAAAGTCATTTTGCCTCCATGACTTTCAAGGCGCTATAAGTTACACTTTATTAAATTTTTATCGGACATTTTTACTACCATATTAAAGAGCACATTAAATATAATAATGTTCCGCCACAGCCTTCTGGAGGAGCGCCATCGAGAGATTCGGCCGCGCGAAAGTGAGGTACCGGAGTTGAGCGAGATCGTTGATTTCTCCGCCACTGTAGACCACCCTGTTGAGCTCCGCCCGAACTAGTAATTGATTGGGCTTTTAGTCAGGGGGACATTACTTCAATATTACATCTTCTTCCAGGTACGAAACGCCCTTCCATTCGAAGTAGGCGGGAGTTTTTCCAAAACCCTTCGATTCCATGTGGTGGCACCCAAACCTGTAGCAGCACAAGGTCTCCAAGAAGGTACGGGCGACCACATGTAGGGAGGATATCCTTCTCGAGTTACTTCAGCGTAACTGCCAGCGGCCTCCCTTCAGTCGGGCGTCTACAAGAAAAGTATCGGTTTCCCATTCCGGTACGGCCGGTCCCACATCAAACTCTGGCCTTGGTGAATGGGGTGAAGTGAGTGTTCCTGCCGACACGTAGCGACGTTGCCGGAGCATGCTCGATGTTGAGGTCTTGCAGATCAAGAGTACTGGTCTCCAGGTAGCTATCCATGGGTGATTCCATTCAAGAAGTTCCGCAGCTGTTTGGAGGCCACGTGAATTCCAAAGGCGTTCTCCACTCAGGCCGCGACTGGAGATGACTTCATATTTTGGTGTACATGAAGGTGAATGGCGGCAGCCGGCTCCTGCTTATAGAGGAAGATCTTGGGTATCTTCCGCCCTGGTACTCATATCCACTTCCTCTGTCTGGGCTGCGAAAACTTCGCTCATATGTGACTCGGCCGGAATGACTTTTTTTTGCCCCCCCCCCTGTATATGAATTGTATATTTCACTGCAATCTAAGGCAACATTATTATTCTGTAAGCTAAGTGCGAGTGTTGATTCACGTTTTGCAGTTTCTAATGTCTGAGATGCAACCGCTTGGTCAAAAACTCAAATATTTCTTCTTTAATTACTGGAACACCGTCACCACTGCGGCCGTCATATCATTCATCATTGGTTTTGCTATGCGAACTTTTGGGTTGGTCATCTGACGTTTTTTGTAACTTTATAG